CAGACAGACAGACAGACAGACAGAAAGAAAGAAAGAAAGAAAGAAAGAAAGAAAGAAAGAAAGAAAGAAAGAAAGAAAGAAAGAAAGAAAGAAAGAAAGAAAGAAAGAAAGAAAGAAAATAACTGGACATAGTATTCAAGATGAGGCTTAACCAGTGTTGAGTAGAGGAGAACTAGTACCTTACATGATTTGGAGACCATACTTCTGTTAATGCATCCTAAAATAGCATTTGCCCTTTTTTGAATCCACATCACACTGCAGGTTCATATTTAACTTTTGAGTCACAACTATTCCAAGATCCTTCTTACATGTAGTACGACTGAGCCAAGTTCCCATCTTGCACCTGTGCATTTGGGCTTTCTCTTCTAGGTGTAGAACTTTGCACTTTTACCTGTTAAAATTGATTCTGTTATGCTCAAGCCTATCAAGATATTTCCAAATTTTGTTTCTGTCTTCCAATGTTGCATTATCTGCAAATTTGATAAGCATTCTCTGCACCCCCTTATCCAAGTCATCAATAAAAATGTTGAAGAACCACCAGCCCCAGGATTGAGCCTTGTGGTACCCCCTTGCTACCTGCAGTTTTCAAGGTGCTTGCAGGGTGACTGCTTTATGATCTGCTCCAGAATTTTTCCTGGTACTGATGTCAAGCTGACTGGTCTGTAGTTCCCAGATTCCTCCTTTGTGAAGACAGGTGCAACATTAGCCCTCCTCCAATCATCCAGTACTTCATCCATCTCAAGAAAATAATAGACACCAGTTCTGAGAGTTCTTTATCCAGTTCCTTCAATACTCTTGGCTGCACTTCATCTGACCCTAGAGATTTCAGCTCCTTCAAAGTAATAAGGTATTCCTTGAATGTATTCTCAAAGGCTTTCAGGGACAGGATCTGATGGTTGTTGAAGGTTTTTCGGGCTCTTTGGCCGTGTTCTGAAGGTCCAGAACACGGCCAAAGCGCCCGAAAAACCCTCAAAAACTATTCCTTGAATATTTGTTTATCAATCTCCAACCGTAATCTTGTCCCCCACTGGTATTTCACATTTTCCTGCAGGGTCATAGACTGTCTTTTTGGAAAAGGCTGAGCTAAAGTAAGAACTGAGCACTTCTGCCTTTTCTTTGTCCTCATTTTTCCATCTCCATGGAGTAGCTGGGCCACTATTTCTTTTCTCTGTCATTTGCTATGCACCTTCCTGAAAAATTATTTGTTGTTATTGTTGTTGCTTTCTCTTGGCAACCTCAGCTAATTCTGCCTTCCTAATGCTACCCTTGCAATTCTTTGCTGCTTCTCTGTACTCTTCCTTGGTGGCTTGGTCTTCCTTTAACTTCCTACCCATGTGCTTTTTTAACTTTCAGGTCCTCAGCTTTTTGTGACGCCACTTTTTTTCTTTTGCTTTCTTCCCTCCACCCCCACCTCCTTTTTTTCTTGTTCAGATTGTTTGTAGTTGTTCCTTTAGAATTTCCTTTTTAAGGAAGCTCTCACACATATGGGACTCCTTTTTCCCATTAGACTCTCTTGCAATGGGACATTGTTCTAAGTTTATTAAAAGTGCCTGTCCTAAAATTCAGCATACATTTTGCTTTTGCTTGCTTTGAATCAGAAGCTCAACTAGAACATGGCCAATTTCCCCCCAGAGTTCCCCTTACTGCTACCTCTTCCACCATCCTAACCCAATCTCTATTGGTTAGGATCAAATCCAGAATACCTAATCCTCTAGTTTCTTCCTTCACTTTTTGTAGGAGAAAATTATCAGCAACATAAGCCAGGAATTAATTGGAAGGGCCATATTTGGCAGAATTTGCCTCCCAGCAGGATAATTGAAATCTCCCATCATGTCTCTTTGAAATTCTTGAAATTTGTTTTTCTAAATGTTTCATCTGCACCTTCCTCTTGATTAGGTGGTCAGCAGTAGACCCCAACTATCGCATGCCTTTTGTTTCTCAACACATTTATATCAATCCAGAAAACTCTCAATGGGACAACCAATCTCATCCTTCTGTATTTCTGTGCAAGGATATGTATTTTTTGCATATACCATGACTCCAACTCCCTTTTTATTTTTTTTCTGTTCTTTTTGATCAATTTATATCCTTCAATTGCCTAAAGGACCCCAAAATTACTTTCTGAAAGCAACATCTATAATTCAATGTAAAATGAACATTAAAATACACTTAAAGAGGAATAACATCATTATGTTATTCTTTATTATAATGTCATTCTGCTGTCACCCTCCAAAAGTAATATGCCACACAGGTAATGCACTTACTGATAAATATTACTTTCAAGCTTTGGTTTAAATGTTTTCTTAGTGTGCAACCAGAGAACTTGGATTATAGGGTGGCTGTGTAAATATAATAAATAGTATTGCTTTGAAAAGCCTATACAGTGGTGCCTCGCTTAACGAGCGCACCATTTAATGGCGAATCCGCATAGCGATGTGGATTTTGCGATCATTTTTACGATCGCATTGCGATGTTTAGATAGGCTATAAACATCGCATTGTGATGATCAGTAAGCATTTCACTTACCGATCTTCGCATTGCGATGTTCTAAAAACAGCTGATCAGCTGTTCCAAAATGGCCGCCGGAAGAAAAAATGGCCACCCGCTCCATTTTCGCACCCTGCCCTCGCTTACCGAGGCAGCGAAAAAGGCAGCCTGATGGGGAATCTTCGCTTACCGGTGAGGTTCCCCCCATAGAAATGCATTAAACGGAGTTTAATGCGTTTCTATGGGGTTTTCCATTCCGTTTAGCGATGTTTCCGGATAGCAACATTTTTCCTGGAATGGATTAACGTCGCTATGCGAGGCACCACTGTATACATATATAGTAAGGCCATATTTGGCAGAAGACACTATAGCAAATGAAGTGAATGGGATCACGTGAAACAGAGAGGTCAAGAAATCATAGGATGAGATTTTCATTGAACTCAAGGAGTAAGTATGAGTAAGTATGTTCAGATGAAGCCCAGGCGATGTGGGAGCTTGAAACAGACTTTCCAGAATGTTCCCATGGTGATGCAAAAAAGGATTCTAATAACGATGAGGATGAAATATGATTGTCAACTGGCAAGTCCTTTCAGAGCAGAGCAAAAATTTGCAACCTGCAGTTTGTGGCCTCATATTCTGAACGTGCTTTGGACGGGGTTGGTGGCTCATAGCACGCATACTCGACTAACTGGTTCAAAGGGTGCTCTAGGCAGGGGGAAGAAGAGGTTGGCTTTCAAGTGAAGGTCTCAAAGGGGTTGCATTAAGGCTCAAGTGTCCTCCATGGTTTGGGCTTGGCTCGCCCCAAATTCAAAAAGCTAGCACGGGTGGTAAACCAGCTCACGTCCCTCTGCTGAAGGCAATCACTTGACAGACACCCTCTCCCGCATTGTGGTTGGCGCAAGTGCAAGCAGACACACACTTGTGCCGCGTGACTCAGCTTGGCCTTTCATCAGGAGACGAACCAGAGGAGTAGGGCGTTCTACCCATCACCAGGTGGAGAAAACATACACAAATGTGGTCCCAAGAGCCCTTTCTTCCAGGCCAGCTTTGGTCCATTTCCCATCCAGTGGCGAAAATCCTTCTGAAATGAAAGTTAGAGAACAGAAGGGGGAGGGGAGAAGCATTCTGGATTCCAAATGTACTCTCTTCCAAACTTTTTGTTTGTCTGGTGCCTTTGGGGTTTTCTTCCTGCCGCTGCTTTCAAACCCATTGGCAAACAGCTTTCTGCAGCTCCACATTCAACCCTTGGGGGCTTAAAATAAAGGTAGTTTGTGAACTCTGTTCTCCTTTAAATCTTATGGATGACACCCCACCCCATTCATCCTCTTTCTTTCTGTGCCTCCCTGGCCTGCGCATGTCTGCAGACACACACACACACAAACACCACCCTCCCCTCTTTCCCTCCCCAAGTAGCCCCCTTTGTCCACTTTTATGAATTGAAACATGCACTCCCAATGTGCGCAGGCAGGGAATCCTGCCCATTAATTAAAGGACTTGTCAGCCCCAATCCCGGATTCTTACAGTGTACGCAATGTCTCCCCTTTTAAGTGCAAAACCATAACATTACCATTTCCCCAAGTGCTCTCTGTTTTAGGCTGCTTTCCTAATTAGAGGGATGATAACAGCCTTGCTGATTGGCATTATAAAAGCACTAGTTTGGCTTCATCTGTCCCAGGTGTGCTGTGTAATTTTTTCCCCCCCTCCCCTCTTCTCACCGTTTCAGAGCCTCACCGTTTCTCTTCTTCATTGTTCCTTAAAGTTTTCATCTGAGGAATTAATTCAGATAAAAAGACATTAGAAAGGAACCTCGACTGCCAAAGCCTATCAGTGAAACCTTTTATCAAAAGTACAAACTATACAAGCTGGAGAGAAGTCTTTTTCTTTTTCTTTTCCTTTTTACCCTTTTGTTTCTGAGGGTTAAAAAAAAAAAGCAGGAGAAGGAGAAAGAAGAAGGAAAGAGAAGAGGGAGGGAGGCGAAAAGGTGGGGGAACCATGAGAGTTCTGTCAATGGACTGAATGCGCCATTAAAACTGGCGTCCCTACAAAGGTTAGCCTAGATCTAACTGTCAATACAGTGAGTGGAGTGGAGTCCGGTAAAGGGAGGGAGGGAGGAGGGGGGGGAGCTTTGGTGAGAAAGAGATACTTTGATATTTTGGGATGTTAGAAGGGTGAATGTGAAAAATTGGAGGTTGGGGATCTAATTACCCAACCATAATTGGGGGCTAGGGAATAAGTTGCAGTCCTCTCAACTCACCGCAGATCAATTATGTTAAGAGAACATCTGTAAGTAGAACTTAATGAGGTCCATTAGAGCAACATGTACAGCCTCCTCTAACCGTACTTGTCAGCTTCTTGGATGAGCCGGAGAGAGCTGCTAACTAGGGACCTGGTGGAGGTGTTTAAATACTGAAGCAAGAGAGCCGGGCCCACTCAGGTTTTGCGTTCAGCTGGGGAAGAAAGTGAGGAGGGAAGGAGAGAGGGGGGGGGCTCAGAGACAACCAGGCAGCGAGCAGGAAAGCAAAAAAAAAACCTGGGACTTGCTCCTATTTGATGATACTGAAACTCAAGCTGGAGGGGGGGGCAGAAAGGAAGCTGGCAAGATGATTAAGTACAGTTTTTCCTCTTGAACTGAGGGTCTGTTTGCACGCATTGTATTTTCCCCACTTTCCTTAAAGGGGAAAATAGGATTTTAAATATATATATATATTATTAAATATATATGTATATATATTATTTTTTCTCCCCTTTTTCCTATTCATTGTCTTTTCCTCCATCCTAAGAGGCATCCGTCTCAACAGCCGGTCGTCTGGGACTCTACAGAAATATCACTCTGATCAGAAGGGAGGGAACTTTAAAAAAAGAGCACATAATACGGCAAAACTTCAAAAACTGGCAAGTGCCTCCTCTCTTTTTTTGAAGGACAAAAGTGTCCCAGATCTGAGACTGGAAGACTTCTTTTACCTTATTTTTTTTTTCCCTGCAGGAAGCGTCTCTTGCGCAAAGGTAGGTCTGCCTCTCTTTTTTATTACCTTCTTCCTTAATCGCTTCCTGCTTTAAATAAAGCTCTTGCCATTTTAAAAGGGAATTTCGAGGTGAGGGTGGAGATCCGATGGTCCAGTGGAGAGGGAAGAGGTGAAGGAGAGATTTCCTGAAGAGTCATTCTCAAAAAGAGAAGAGGTTCTAGCTGATGGTTTGAACGGGGGGGAGGATGGCGCGGGGGGGGGGAAGCAGCAGTTAGCAAATATAGAGATAAAAGTGCGATGTTGCTCTCTCGCTCGCGTCTCCCATCATTTCCCTCGCCCGCCAATGGAAACCAGAATCAGCCCAGGAATGATTTTTGCCAGGGTTTAGCCTATGTCACTTGCTTCCATAAAAGTGCACCGACCAGATTCTGGTCGGCTTTGGCTGGCGATCCTCGTTCAAGGGACTTGAAAAGGCGGAGTTGGAACACGCGCGGGGCGGGGGGGGGCGGTATTTGCGCTGGTTGCGGAGACACCGCGGAAGCATCTGAGGGTTAAATGTGTCAGGAGTTTTTTAAAAAATAATAAATTAAATCCCACTTTTGCAGCTCGGTTTGCGATCGCCCATCCCCACCTTGAGCGCCTTCCTTCTTTCCTCCTGGGTCCGGTTGCACCTTGATCTTTGCCAGCCCCCTGGCTGACGATCGCATCGGTGTAAAGTGCATTTTAAACTAGTAAACCGCTTTATCTTCACTTTCCTCTCCCCCGCCTTTAAAACAAAAACAAAAAACCTCGGACCGCTTTGTTTGCGCCTCAATAATTCACACGATTCTCAGGAAGGAGCACGAAAGTGATGGCTTGTGTTTTTTTTTTTCCCCTCTCTCCTACTATTGCCCCGTTTTTATTTTTGCTATTTTATTTCACAGATTTTATATATATATGCGCGCGCGTGCGTAAGTGTGATCTTGCTGTAAATTGCATGGTTAGGGAACGAGCCTGCTTTCAAATAATTTAATTCATGACAAAACCTAATTACTGTCAGGTAATACCCTGTCAGCTTTAATGCATTTCATCAGTCATAATGAAAAGAAGAGCATTTTATGACCCATCTAATTATCATTACATTTTAGGGGGAAATGAATGGCATGGAGCTGAATGTTAACTATTCTATTTTATTCCTTTACACATGTGGTTTGGCATATTACTCACCCAGTCTCTCCCCACCCCACCCCGCTTTTCCCTTTTTTTAAAAAAAAGCCCTTGATTGGTAGAGATGGGGGGGACCGACTGCAATTAGATGCGGAGCGGTTTGTTCAGGTTCTTCTCTCTCTCTCTCTCTTGACCGACTGCAATTAGATGCGGAGCGGTTTTATTCAGGTTCTTTTCTCTCTCTCTCTCTCTCTCTCTCTTTCTTCCACCCACACAAACACACACACACGAAAAGTGACAAAGTGCTTAATGTCTCTTGCACGTTGGTGTTGACACCGGGTATCTTTATTGCCACAGTCCAAATAGAGTACTAATTACTGCGCATGATGTCACCGTAGGCAGAGGAATAATCCCATCATTTAATTAGTTGAATGATTTAAACAAAGATTTGCATAGATGCACTAATCAGTTGCTATGAATTACGGAGGAGCCGTTGCCAGCGAGGGGTAACAGATCAGAGATGGGGGGGGGAGAGAAGGAGAGAGAAGGAAGGAAGGAGGGAGGCTGGAGGGGGGGCGAGAGAGAGAGAAAGAGCGCGCGCGAGAATTTCATCTCCTTTAACATAATTAATTTAATTGTCCTCATTAGCTGTACCATTTGTTCTGATTTTATTTCCCCCTTTCTTCACACATAACCTGTCTCTCTTTCTCTCCCTCCTTCACCCCTCCAACCGAAAGCATGGGTTGCAACGCACATCCATCCTGAGCGGGGTCACTTTGAGAGGTGGGGGGGGAGGGAGGCGAAGTGGTGTTTGTAGACAGAGCGTGTAAACAGACGCGACTCGAGACAGTTCCAAGCTGGACATGATGTCGTTCCGCCCTTGGGTGAGAAGGGAGCCGGTCGTTAAGCCTCTGTTAATACCTCTTTTGCGAGTGCAAATGGGATCGCCGCGAAGCGTAGCGCGCACCGTGCGCCTTTCTGGGTGCGCCTTTACGCGCACAGTCCTGCTTCGGGAGCCCCTTGGTCTTTATGGCATTTGAGCCGCTTTGCTGGTTTTGCGAAGTAAAATAAAGGGGTCCCGTAGGGGAGGGAGCCAAATTCAATCACCAAAACAAGCAAGTCGCGTTTCACTGCGGTTTCTGTTATTATTATTATTATTAGCTGCTGCCAATACTGCATTTGCTGGATTATCCGGAGAGGGGGAGAGGCCAGAAGAGGGTGAGCCTGGGATGTCAAATCATTCCGAGGCTTCAAAAGCTTTTTGAAAAGCCCCCCCTCTCTTAATAATGGGTGTCATTCAATTTTTTTTAAAGACGGAGGGGGGGGATTCTGACATCTTAAAAAAAAGGCTTTGTGGCAATCTTAGTGTGAGAAGCTCCTAATGACAGACAACAGAGAGCACTTTGAAGTCTGCCAACTGCATTCACAAATTCTTAATCGGGTTTTCCCCCCCCTTTCTCCTTTTCGCTCCCAGTTGTGGATTGACTCTTAAAAGTAGGAAAATGCCCTGGGGGGAGCGGAATGGAAAAGGGTGGCGGTTATTGACACAATAAGTAGGTTCGACGTTCGTGGGGGAAGAAAAGGCAACATATTAAGTGACAGTACCAATCCTAGCAAATCTTTAATGCCCTAATTTGGAGGAAGAAGTAGGACTGAGGGATGAAGATCAGACTGAAATCTGTAGTGCAAAAGGGCGGAAAATCAGGCTCATGGCACCAATCTGTGTCTGCCTTGTGCCATATGACTGCCTATTCCGTATTACGCCCCATCTGGATTATGCCCTCCCAGGTTAAGTGTGGCTTTGCTTTCTCCTGGGCCCTTTTAGTTCAGCTGGAGTTCGGTCTTGCCGGAGAGGGACCGACGGAACTCATGGCTACAGCTCACCCTTCTCTATCTCCATGGGGCCTGTCCAAAAGACGGAGCCACGTGTCCTGGGATGTGTGTAGCGGGGGGGGGGGAGTTACAGAAGCTGAAAACAGAGGAGAAAATTTGAAATTCGTGGTGCGTAATGGACAGGCGCAAGGAAAAAGCCACGCATGCTTCTAGCCCCAGTTCTTCAGAATCCGGTAATCGACTCGTTTCCAAAGTCAGTCCCAAAAAGTTGGTTCCTGGCGACCCTAAAAGGGCCTGGGGCGCCTTCCCACCCCCTACCCTCGAGTTGTTCTTGATGCAGACTTAAGACTCCTCTAGGGCTTTCCCCCGAGTCCTCGGGCACGTGCGGACGGACCTGCACGCGATGAAAGCACGGGTCTGAAAACACAAGAAAGGCAGAGCTGCTACAATACCCCCCACCCACAGACACCCCCCTCCCCAAGATTTATGGCGAAAGATCGTGGCCGCTTCGGCAGCTGCGATCTTCGCAGACTTCTGCAAGCCGACACGTCGCTTTACTCCCAGGGAAACCGTCCCTCGGATGAGAGCCCTAAAGTTGCTAGCTGGCGCTCTCTCTCTCCTTCCCCCCCCCAAAAAAAACCCTCCCAACCCTTTCCTTTGCAAAGGTCACTTCCCAAAGTAAGGCGGCGGGGCGCTGGCTGGCTGGCTGGCGTCTCCTAC